AGGCAATCCACTCACCTCAGCCCCCCAAAGGCACGGGATTACAGGCTGAGCCACCGAGCCGGCTTGTCTGTATTCTTGATGCCCTGGTATTTGGGCTTCCTGATCCAGGAGATACCCCACCTGCAAGGCTAGCTAGTTCCTAAAGGTGGCTGACAGTTCATCTTTGAGCTTTCCTTTCAAGTGCAAACTGAGCCCATTCTAAGAGCCACTTCATCTCCCTGGCTCTGCCACTCCAGGATGCAGTACTTCACTGCCCTACGGACCAAGTACCAAGACAACTAGAGATGGCCCCATGTTCGGGGCCTGCTGAAATTATCCAACTAGCCAATCCTAAACCTGTTACCCTGTCTTGTCTTGTCCACAGAAACTGCCTTCGGGTTCCTGCCTGTGCCTCCCCCTCTGTCCCTCTGTCTGCTGACAAAACCCAGTGCTTTCCCATGTGGCCAGGCCTGGCCTGGCATGTTCCCTCCTCTTGGGAACTGAAACAAACTCTCTTAACAAGGCAGTCATCTGCCGATCTGTTGGCCTCAACATGTGCAAATACAAATTAAATCTCGGGTACATTTAAAAACCATTCTTATGTTTCCTTGGAGTCTTAACTTCTTCTAAAGCCGCTCACTTTCTGGAAGCTCAGTGCTGCATTTAAAAGATGTTTTTAAAATTGTGTCCAGCATCTTCAGCTTTTGGGGAGCAGTGTAGGCTGTGCCCCGAGACTTGCTGTGGGAGGCCCCCTGAAAGGCCCCAGCCAGCCACAAGGAGCCCGCCCCCTCCAAAGGCTAAGCCTAGGCGTGGCCCCCACCTAAAATGGCGCTCCCACCTAAGAAGGTGCCCGGACAAACTAACATGGAGGCTCGGACAAGGCTTTCCGGGTTCTTCTTCCACAACAAAGCCCACCGTGCCCGCGCCCGCGAAACCCCCTGCCAATCCCAAAAATGCCTCACCTGCCGACCTATAGGTAACTGACAGGTCGCTTTAAATTTCTATAAAACCTGCCACACCCCTGCCTCCACGCTGCAGCCTGGTTCTCAGGTTCTGTAGCCACCGGGTTCGTCCCATTAAATCTCTTGGCCTTAACGGGTGTTGAGTCTCACTGCGCGCCACCGTCTTTCACCCCCTCCCTCACCTCACACACTCCATCCACGGCTCCGAAGCTCTGCCCACCTTCCTGGTGGCTTGCAGCTGTAATGCTCTCCTGCTTTCACCATAATTGGAAGCTGGTTTTTTGTTTGTTGTTCTCTTTGTTTTTGGATGCTTTTCAGGAAGAGAAACAGGAAGTGCCCCGTTAGTGCCTCGCCCACAAACTGGGAATCACCCAACTTGCTTACTTCACCAAAGCCACTCGGGGAGATTATCCCTGTTGATAATATTGCTGTCATTTGTTCGATTCAACTGTAGCATAGTCATCTGTTATATGACACTTTCTGTTGCTTTCTCTCCTTCTCATGTATATTCTATTTAAGAACACTTAGGTTATCTCTGAATTTCTTTCTTTCTTTCTTTCTTTTTTGAGTTAGAGTCTCACTCTGTCACCTAGACTGGAATGCAGTGGCATGCTCACTTCACTGCAGCCTCGACCTGCTGGGCTCAGGCGATCCGTCCGCCTCACCCTTCCAAGTAGCCGGAACCACAGGCATGTACCACCACACCCGGCTAATTTTTGATTTATTGTAGAGACAAGGTCTCACCAGGTTGCCCTGGCTGTTCTTGAACCTGCAGGTTCAGGCAACCCTCTCACCTCGGCCTCTCAAAGTGCTGGGATTATAGGCATGAGCCACCACACCCAGCTTCATTGCAGTTTTCATGTGTATTTCCCAGATTAGCGAAGATGCTGAGTGTATTTTCATTTCCTTATTAGTTAATTCAGTTTCTTGTGTGGACAGTACCTGTCAAAGCCTAGTCCCTATTCAATTGGGTAGTTGTCTTTTTCTTACTGATTCATACTCTTAAATATTCTGGATGTTGGTCCTTTGTTGTTTTGTTTTGTTTTTTAACAGCACTGTACAGTTTTATTAACCATTCAAGTCCAGTAACATCTGGTAAGACTGGAACAGAATTGGGATTGAAAAGTGAACAGATATTCAGCATCTAACCGTTCAAAAGAAGCCACTACATACTCTTTTCACAAATATGTTTTCACAGTCCATACAGTACTAGCCATGAACCCCGTACACCTAGTACACTGAAGTAGAAAAGATGCAACAAGTAAAAGAGCTACATTAGAAAGACCACACTTTAGAAAAGGAGTAAAACACTTTCAGTTTCTCCCCTTTAGCCCCTTAAAACAACATCTTACAGTGTGGATCCACCTATACAGTCCTACATCAGTTTCTAGAATGTTTGTCAGGAGGGAAAGAAAAAAATGACACTGGCCAGTACAGTCTTTCGATATTTAGGAAGGGGAGGGGGAGAAAGTCAGTTCTCTGACCAAATTTGCCAGCTTCAGTCTCATCAGCAGGATCTTTGGATTCTTTGTTCTCCCGCCCTTCTTCAATGTGCTTACCCTTCTCTCGCAGACGCTCCAGTTTGGCAGCCATTTGTGCCTCTCGGTTCTCTTTGTTAGCTTCCATCTTGTGGGTCAGTTTCTCCTCCGCCATTTTACTAAAGTTGTTGTTTTCCTCTATTGCTTTCTGGAGCACTTCTTTCTCATGCTCTCGTTTCTCAGCAAGCTGCTTCAAGACTTCCGCTTCATGGGACTGGAAAAAAGGTAATAGGCTAGGCTCTCTGAAATGTATTTAGCATTAAAAGTTGCAAAATAAGTTATTTACTGGGGGAGTTGAAAAAAGGCAGAAAATAAAGTCCCATTAAATAATACTGAAATTAGGACCTGAATCATGCCTATCATAAAATACTGTGAAAATCATATCCCAATTATTCCTTAAGGAAATCCTTCTAAAATTTACTGCTTAATGGTATCCAGATGACTTGAGTAACATGCATTTGGGAATGGCACTTTTATTATAAAGAATTTTGGTTATTTAACTTCAAATGCTACAAAAAGAAAACTAGTTCATTACAAAAATTTAGCCATACCCAATTTAAAAAAAAAAATCAATGAAAAATTTAAGACTAAGCTTCTGGATTACTTTTTAAGCCAGAAGAATTTCTGCTTCAAGGAAAGGCGCATTAGCTTTCTCTTTGGAAGCTGAATTAACAGATCGTGCCTTCTTCAACAAACTAAAAAATGCGTTACCAAACAGATTCAGATGTGTTTGGAAGCATCGATGTGCAGGGTAACCACAGAGCATCTGCTACTGGTTCTATTGATTCTCTTCTGCAAAACCCTAGTCATGATAAGAGTGTCACCACTATTTAGCCAGTCGCTATGCAAAGCACAGGCTAATGACTAACAGGGCCAGGGTTGATTCCTGAAAAACATCCCTCTGTCCAGCCTTTGGCCGTATGGCTTCCTCCTTCCCCACGAAGTCAAACTACACACAAGTACAGGCATAAGGCTCCCCAGAGAAAACACTGCCATTCTCCCCAGGGAAAAGATTCAGTGTTGATGTGGCACTGAAAAGTACATCCCAGCCTGAGCAACATAGCAAGACATTGTCTCTAAAAAAAATTAAAATAAATTAGCCGGGTATGGTGGTATATACCTGTAGTCCCAGCTACTCAGGAGTCTAAGCTGGAAGGACTGCCTGAGTTCAGGAGGTCAAGACAGCAGTGAGCCATGATGGTGCCACTGCACTCCAGCCTGGGCAACACAGTGAGACCCTGACTCAAACAAAAACCAAAACCAGCCAGGTGTGGTGGCTCACGCTTGTTATCCCAACACTTTGGGAGACGGAGGCAAGAGAATTGCCTGAGCCCAGGGGTTTAAGACCCGGCTGGGCAACTTGGCGAGACCTCATCTCTACAATAAATTAGCCGGGCGTGGCGGTGGACATCTATGGTTCCAGCTACTTGGAAGACTGAGGTACAAGGGTCCCCTTAGCCACTGCACTTCAGCCTGGGCAACAGGGTGAGACCGGATTCAAAAAAAAAAAAAAAAAAAGTGCATGGCACATGCTATGGCAGCTTAAGGACTGCTTGTGTATGTGTATTAGACATCAAATCACAGTAGCTATGTTGGTCTGGGGCAGATTACTGGCTTACCTTTTTGGGCATTACTCGTCCCAACTTTAAAATCAAACATGACTAATCCAATCAAATTTGTTGGGATGGGGGATTAAATGAAAAGTTATGTAAAGTAATGAGCAAAATAATGTTGAATGGGAAGAAACACACCAAAGTGTTAACACCGGTTATTTCTGGGAAGTGGAATGAATACTTTTAATTTCTTTCTTTCTTTTTTTGAGTTGGAGTCTCACTCTGCCACCCAGGCTGGAGTGCAGTGGCTGCTCCCGGTCACTGCCACCTTGACCTGCTGGGCTCCGGAAATCCTTCCACCTCAGCCTTCCAAGTAGCTGGAACTACAGGCATGTGCTACCATGCCTGGCTAATTTTTGATTTATTGTAGAGATGAGGTCTTGCCAAGTTGCCCAGGAGGGTCTTGAACCCGCGGGCTCAGGCAATCCACTTACCTCGGCCTCCCAAAGCACTGTGATTACAGGCTGAGCCACCGAGCCCGGTCAACTTTTAATTTCTATTTATAAACTTCTATGTTTCCCAAATTTTCTGTAGCAAGCATATTTATATTCGCTGATTATTCTGATTAGTTATTTTTAAAAGATGGTACAACACAACCACACTACCATCAATTTAAAATGTCTTTATTGGCTGGGCATGGTGGCTCATGCATGTAATCCCAGCACTTTGGGAGGTGGAGGCTAGAGGATTGCCTGAGCCCAGGGATTCAAGACCAGCCTGGGCAACTTGGAGAGACCTGATCTCTACAATTATAAAAAAAAAAAAATTCACTTGGGTGTCGTGGCATGCACCTGTAGAAGGCTAAGGCAGAAGGATCACAACGCTGTAGTGGCTATGATCATGCCACTGCACCCCAGCCTGGGCAACACAGTGAGACTCTGACTCAAAAAAATAAGTTTGTATTGTACAGCTCTAAAAAAAATTTAGCAACAAAGAGGCCGGGTGCAGTGACTCACACCTGTCATCCCACCACTTTGGGAGGTCAAGATGAAAAAACTGTTTGAGCCCAGGAGTTCAAGATCAGCCTGGGAAACATAGTGAGAACTTGTCTCTGCAAAAAAAAAAAAGAACAAGTCAAAAAATTAGCTGGACATGGTGGCACACACCTGAAGTACCAGCTACTTGGAAGGCTGATGGAAGAATGGCCTAAGTCCAGGAGGTTGAGGCTGTAGTAGCCATGAGCATGCCGCTGCACCTGGAGACTTAGTGAGACCCTGACTCAAAATAATAATAACAACATAAAATTAAAATAAAGTGACAAAGACTCATCTGCCAAAAATCTTGTTTTTCAAAAAGGAAGTATGGGAAACGAGCTTCAGTTTAAGACAGACCTGGGCTTAATTTCTGGTTCCAACATCTACTAGCTATACGACTTCAGAAAAATGATTAAACATTCCTGAAACTGTTTTCTAATTTCCATTATCTGAGGCAACATCAACCCTGTAGGGTCAATGTATTAAAGGAGAAAAATATAAGCAAAGGAGCTGGCACATAGAAGTTCAATAAATGATGGCTGGTATTTTCTTCCAGTCATTGGCATATATAATTTTCACAGTTATAATCATAGTGTAGCTACAAGTGTTTTTTTCCTGTTATGGAAATAAAATTGATTTGCTCCATGACATTAATAAATATCCTGTTTTCTGTGAATTGCTATGTTTACCTTGCGTCTTTCTTCTGCAGCTTCTAATTTCTTCTGAATTTCCTCCAGGGAAAGATCCTTCTTCTTTGGAGGGGAAAGGGGGAATTCTGGAACAGATTCTTTTGACCGAGGGCTGAGAATAAGCTCAAAAGCCTGGCCTGAGGCACGCTTCTCCAGTTCTTTCACCTGAATATCTAGAGGTGATCATATTTATAATTCAGAAAACCAGGGTTCTCTTACTCTAGTAAACTGTTTTATAATTCTCTAAAACCCAAATCAATTTAATAGATCTAGGGCTGATGAAGAAGGTATGTTTGCCAGCATGATATTATTATCTAAATACCATCTCCCAGAAAAACAAAGCTCAACATTTTTGGACTAATAGTGTTCTAAGACATCAGAATCTAACAATGGCTTTCAAAAATGAAAGACTTGTGCAAATTCCACAATTCTGCTTTGGACCAAGCCAAACTGTCTAATAATGAAACAATTATGAGCTCTCAGCACATCTAAGTGACAGTCACTTTAATACTATTCTCCTACTCATAAAAATAGGCTTTGGATAAGTACCAAATTAAAGGTGTAAGATCTGAGCTATTTCCTAATCTAAAATCATAAGTCCATCACAATTCCAGCGTTTTCAAGTAGATTACCTACCAGAAGAAGCCATGGTGAACAGAAGAGACTGGCAGTATACCCTTTACAAAATCCACTGGGGTAAGGAAAGCCCTGAAAACAATTTTTAAAAGCATGCAATCAGTTTCTTTGCATTTCTATATATCATCAACACAAAGAGACCTCAAATCACATCCTCATAAATCAATGTCAAAAGAATCACTACATGGAATTAAATATGACATCACTACCCAGGAAAAATTATCAAAATCTACAAAATACTGAAACATATTGGGAAATTTGGGCCCAATATAATACTGGTTGCAGAAAATCAAGTTTACTGAGTTTGCCCATTCATAAAACAACTCTTGGGTTTTTAAAATTAGGCAAAGTAACAAGGCTGAAGGATTTTTTTTCCCCCATAAACTAAATTTTCCCCTCAAACCATAAGATGTTTCACATTAAACTCAACAGTGAGCCCGGAGCCATCTTTGCCTACAACTCATTGTGCAAATGAGATACCCACCCACCCCTGCTTTGTCTGAATCTGCCGTGGTGGGTAGCAAAACGCCCAAGCTAATATTAACCAATTATGATGAACTTCTATTGTTCCTGGGGTGTAAGCTCCTTGCCCAACCGCAGGCAAAATTAAGCTTTATGAATCTCTAGGCGTTAGGTCACAATATTTGCTGCTGTTATATCACGAAAAATGCCCTATCTCTTTTGATTTTTTTAAGATTACGCTTTTTGTAGAACTCAGGCTAGCACCAAAAACATAGGACTACAAGTCCCAGCCGCTCGAAAATTAAACCAGAGGTGGGCACAGTAGAGCTTCGGACGCAGCACGGAACCCAAGATGGGCGTAGCCCTGGTCTAGGCGAAAAAGAGCGGACAGGCCGCCCTTGGCCAATCAGAGCACGCCCTGCTCTCAGGCCCGGGCCCCGCCCCCCTCCTCCCCGCGCCTTTTCGAATCTCCCCAACTCTCAACACCCCTGAGCCCGCGCGCGTGGGAAGGGGAGGGATGGGCGGGGCTAACGGTCCTATCCGGGTAACTCCGCCCCTCCCGGGCTAGCTCCGCGCGGACGCCCCCCAACTCCCGCCAAAAATCCCTGGAGGCCGCTGCCACCCCCGTCGCAGCTCCGCGGGTGGGGCAGGCCCCGGGAAGAGGCCTCCGGGTAGCCCCCGTTAGCTCGCCACCTCCAATTATCGTCCCCGTCCCCAACCTGCTGCCACCCAAGCTATCCGCGCCCCGGCCGCGAGGACACGAGAGCCCTCGCGGGGCGCCGGGAGCGCCACCCTTCAGTCACCCGCGAGGGCGATAGCGAGGAGGGGGCCGGCCCCGGCCGCCCGCAGTCTGGCCCCAAAGCCACTGGTTCCTAGGGGAGCCGCCCCGCCCCTTCAAACAATGGGGACCCCGACGGGGACTGCAGGCGACGGAGGGAGGAAACGAGGGCCCACGCCCCCTATTGTCTCCTCGACGGCACCCCTGAGCTGACGCCCGAGCTCGCCCAGCCCCCTCCCCACGACAGCCGCGCCCCCAGGGAGCGAGGACAAAGCCGAGGCTCCGCCCGAGCCACACACAAAGCGGAGCGACCCCCGCCCACCAACCCCCCTGGCCCGCGGCCCCGCCCGCCGCGCTCCAGTAAAGGGTCGCTCCCACGGCTCGGCCCCTCCTTGCCGGCCGCGTCCCCCCAGCCGCCCTCAGCCAGTCGCCACCTCCCGCGGGAGGCCCGCACCCACCTGCTCGGTCCGAGCCGCCTGACCACACT